TTTGGTTTTTTGAGACGGGTTTCTCTGTGTAGCTTTGGAGTCTATCCTGGCACTCGCTCTGGAGACCAGGCTGGCCTCGAACTCACAGAGATCTACCTTCCTCTGCCTCCCGAGTGCTAGGATTAAAGGCATGTGCCACCAACGCCCAATAAATAAATCTTAAACAAAACAAAAAAAAACCTGGCATAATAGAGAGCTATTTCTCCTACAAAGCCTTCCCTGATGCCTATCTGCTATGTGTTCCTTTGGGGTACTCCACAATTCCCTAAGCCCAGTGTGATCTTCCAAAGTCAGATGGAATTTACAAAGTCAGGCTTCTTCACAGCACAAGACATACACGGCCAATGACTTAGGCAAGTGGACATTACTCCTCTCCCTCTCCTCCCAGCTCCTGTTAAGGAACTGAAAAAGCCGATGCCCAAAACACTCCTATCCACTGTCAAGAGACCGGCAGCAGCTGCCTCTGCACTTAGCAAAGCCAAGTAAGAAAGAGGGAGGCATTGGGAAGGTTAGAGGGTACTGGGGAGGAGGGAGGTACAGAGGAGATACCCCTTCCACCCATCTGGTGTTACTGATGGAGATGTGTTCCAGGACATCTTCGACACCCAGTGGGGACAGCCAGAAACGCCCCTCCCGAGACTCCGGTAAGGGCTCCCTTCCTACAATGGAAGACAGAGATGGGGTGGGGGAGTGTTGAGGGATCAAGACGAGCTTGGGTCTCTGAAGCTCTACTCTTCATAGGCCTCAATGGCAGCTTCCTCAATGGAAGGCCCAGACAACTTGGGAGAAAGCAAACGAGAATTCAGGCTTCCCAACAGTATTCTGTATTCAGACAGGTGAGGGGCCAGATACATGGGAGAGGGCATTGCTGGGAGATGGTAATCACGAGTGTGTTGTGCAAGGGTGAAAGATCCTGAGGGGAACAGGAAGATGGAACAAGGTATCCAGCTTCCAACCGAGACCCTGCCCCACCCTGCCATCACCACAGGAGGATGAGCAGAGAAGCCCGGGAAAGGCCCCCTCCACAAATAAAACCACTACTCCAGAAAAGACTCGGATTCCAGTTAAGACCCTTGGTCCACAGAAGATCCTGGCTCCCAACAAAGCCTCCACTCCAGAGAACCCCGTTCCAGAGAAAGCCTTGGATTCTGCCAAAATCCGCACTGCAGAGAATACCACTGCGGACAAGGCTGTCAGTACAGAGGTGGATGAAGCCCCTGCCTTAGAGGCCCCAACTAAGGATGAAACCGTTGACCCGAAGATGGCCCTTCATGTGGACAGTGCCCCTGTACTAGTAAAGATCCTGAGCCCAGAGAACATGCTTTTTGAAGGGGAGTCTTTTAGACACAACACTCAGAACCAGCATTTGCCTCAGGAAGAAACCACACAGGCTTCTGAGTCTCTTGCATCTTCAAATGACATTGAGGTTCCAGGAGAGTACTCTCAACAGTCTACCTCAGAGTGTTGCTATTCCCGTAGGGATAATCATGTGGACACTTCCCCAGCCCACTCCCGGGCTAACAATGAGTCTGCGGTGGGGGAGGCCACCTTTCTGGAGGAGCTACCAGCCAAAGATGAGACAACCCTGAAAGAAACACTCGCCAAAGAAAACCTGCCTTCTGAAGGGGAGGGTCCCTCAAAGCAGGTGCCTCCTAAAGAGCCAGTCCCCAGTCCCCAAGTACCACATGCTATCAAGCAGATTCCAGATCCTGAGGAAGCCCCCACACTTCATCCCGCGGTCCCACCAACCTCTTCCCAAAGCAAGAATGACAGCGAGGATGTAGCATCGTTAAAGGAAGAGGTGGGGTCGCTAAAGAGCTTGCTGGAGCGTCTGGAGTGGAAGCTGGGGTAAGTGGCAGTAATGCATAGGGCGGAGCGGGAGATAAAGGTAAGGTCCAGAGTCTCATCGGAAATGCGGTACCCACAGAGAGAAGATGAGTGATGTCTTGGAGGAGCTGAAGGCAGAGAAGGAGGAGCTGAAGGCAGAGAAAGAGAAGCTCCAGTCGCTGGAGGTGGGTGAAATGCGGACCCAGGCGGGGAGGGCAGTAGCAGTAGCCGGTGGCTTTGGTCTCTGATGCCCTCTCCCGACTAGGTTCAGTTCATGGAGAAGACCCAGAAGCTCTTCAAACACGCGCAGACACAGACGGAAACACACACGGAATGAGGGCGGGCTCAGGCGGAACCTCAGCCCGACCTGGAGGGACGTCCATCCTGCTCAGGCCGCCCCGTCCTTGTACACATCTTTGAGAAACTCCAAGGAAGTAAAAACTCTAAACTCTTAGATCAGCCTGGTCTGTGTGGGGCGGGGCCAGCCATCACCCCGCCCTCCGCATTCCTAGCACTCTCTCCCGGGGCACATCTGGCCAACATGTGGCTCCCATTACCATTCTCAAAGCCTGTGCAAGGCTATTTTTATCCACCGGATGGTTGGGGGCAGGGGTAGTCTCCTTCGGACGCCAGCCCTGTGCTGGATGCTGGGTGGAGGGGCCCAGACCCTCCTGGATTCGAGAACCCAGCTGTGCACTAGAGGGGTGGAGCCAGCCTTCTCTGGGCCCAGCTCCTCCCTGTTAGCCTTTTCCCTGAGGGACTCCTGTGTCCACTCACTTGGAATGATACTCAGAAGCAAACTCCTGGTTTCGTTCAGGTACTAAGTCTAATAGAATTAGCATTAAGGTCTGAGCCTTAGGTTTCCCTATGTAATTGCAGTGACATCCCAGGGCAGGTCATAGGGCAGGGGACTAGATGACACTTGTCCAAGTGTTGGATAGTAAGGAACATATTTGTGAGGAATGCCTGGAATACCCATCCTGTGTGCAAGTGCAAGAGGCGTGTCTCGGCCTGGTTCTTTGGTCTGTGAAGTGAGCACAAGCATGCATTGGATGGATCCCCAGAGGGGGTGCGACCTGCAAAAGCAGTGATGCCTACAGCCCTGGGACTCCCCTATGGGGCCGGAGCCTGGGGGCCTACTGAAAGCAGTGGTGACTAAATGAGAGACTGAGTCGCTGAAACTAGCTTTCATTGGTCATTGATTGTTACCAGGAAGAGAAGGTGGGACCTGGTATCCTTTTCCCACCCACACCTGCCCAGTGAACAGTGAGTGCTTAGCAGGCAGTGATCCACACACGCCCAATAGCACCAGGAGAATTGGGGCAGAGGCAGTTCGAAGGCCCTGGGGCAGCACTGGGCTCAGTCCCGTGTCCATGCTGCGGTTCATGTGTCAATAATAGTGCATACGGCCCAGCGTGCCCGTGGCTGTGGTTCCGGGCCCGATTGTGCCAGTACCCAGCAGGTCTGGCTGCCCAGTGCGCCAGATCTCCCGCAGGATTCGCTCACGCTCCTCCAGCCGCTGTGCCCGCTCCAGCTCTTCCGCTGATGTGAAGACATTGACACTAAGGGGCCCGTCGGGCTCAGTGGACAGCTCCTGGCCCGGGAGCGTGTCATCAGGGCCCAGCCTCGTCATGGTGTCCTCATCCTCGTCGTCATCGTCATCTTCCGGCTCTAGGGTGCTGCTGCGAGGGTCCCGGCGCGGAGCAGGGGCCCGGGGCCGCGAGCGAGGCGCGCAGGAGATGCTGATGACTAGCAGGCACAGGGTCAGCAGCAGACCGAAGCAGACGCCCAGCACGAAGTAGAGGCCGAAGCTCTCGGGGTTAGCTAGGGAGCAGGGAACGGAGGTCACAGGGGGGCCTGACAGGCTGGAGTCGTCCCGTCTGGGAGAGATCCAGAGTCTAAGCTTGGGGCACAGAACGGAAGGGCAGCAGGGGACAGGAATCTGGGGGTAGGGCTGGGGGGTGAGCAGCTGGGAGTGGAGGGCTGCCTGTGCCAGGACGGACGGGCTCTGTGCTCCCAGGCCCGGCCCTCACCTCGGATGTGTGCATAGGCCGCCAGGCTGTTGCTGAATAGCTCCATGTCCTTCCTCGGGGCATCCATGGTCCAGGGACGCAGCTCGCCTGTCAGCCCGCGAGGTCAGCCAGGTCAGGCCCTTTAAGGCCCGAGGCGCTCACTCCTCGGGCAGCTCCTCCACCCTGGGGGAGAGCAGTTCCCCTCATTTGGGCGCAGGTCTGGGCTCTGCCCGCAGACGCCCCTTCATCCCGGGGAGCGGCGGAGAGGCCGCACACGCTCCGCCCCCTCGTGGGGTCCCTAGGCGAGGCCCAGCGCACGGAAGGACGAGGCGGTGCCTCGGGCTCCCCTGTCGCCTTCCTCCTGCACCCCTCCGCCAGCGGGACCTCGGCCCTGCTCGCTCACCCGTCAGCGTCCCGCTGCCTGCCCCCGGCAGTTGCGACTCCCCGGTGGCTGCATACACCCGGGCCGGGCTGGGCCGGGCCGCCCCGTCCGTCCGCCTTCCTCGGTTCACACTGTGGTGCGGCCGGACACGCCGATGGACCAGCCGGCGGAAAGTTTCCTCCGAGGAAAGAGGAGGGACTGGGCGGGGCGGAGAGGCGGGAGGAAGAGCGCCTGGAGGAAGGGGAGAGGGGGCGGCCCCTGCTCCCCTACAGGAAGCCGCTGGGGAGGCCGCTCACAGGGGCCGCCCCCGCCAATGCTAACAACATTAGTTACTAAACATCCCTAAGGCCTGGGCGCAGGGAGTAACATCCCCCCCCCCACACACCGTAGACGTTCCTCCTTTAACAAGCCTACCAACCCTAGACTATGGCATCATTAAATCTCCAATTTGCAGATGAAGTAAACCGAGTCATAAAGATCTTGAAGAACTTTGCCACATGGTCAGGACTTGAACCCACAACTCTCTGGCCGCAGGGCGCAGACTCCAAACTACTTCCCTGTGCCTGGCTCCTCCTGTGATGGGGGCGGGTCCAAAACGGTTCATCCCTGGAGCCCTTTCGTAGACCCAGTGGAGTCAGCCGGCATCCCCACGTCCTCATTGGTCCTCCTGGGAGGGAGAGGCCTCTCCTCCCAGTGGCCTGGCTGAGTGTGTCCAGCTGCTGTGGTCACCCAAGGTTAATGATTGCCGAACTCGGCGGTGAGCCAGGCCCCAGAACGCTGCAGACCCTAGCGGGGCCCCTGCCTCTTGCAAGCTCGGGGAACGTACTAGCTGCTTTGCCCGCTGGACCTGCCCAGACTCACACGTGTGCTTCCACCTGGGCTCAAGACTTGTCCAGAAGTTTGCTGGGGGATCTGCAGCTGGGCTTTTCTTTCTGCCTAGTCGTCTGGCCACCACCACCCCTTCCCTAAGCTGGATCTGGGGTGAGGGGGAGGCCTTCTTGGCGGGAATCTTGAGAAGGCGGAGGGAAAGAATGGGGAGAGGAAATTGCAGGCATAGCTGTAGGCGCTGCCTGAGGGCCATTAACCCCCTCCCTGTCCAAGCTGCAGGGCTCTCCTCCCCCACACCTCCCGACTCCCCCAGGCCAGCCTGGGTTCAAGTAGGGGGCAAGAAGAGATGGAGAAAGGAGTTGAGCTGATTCACACCTGGATGTATTTGTGATTGTTTAGTCTGCTCTGTGAGCAGATAGAAGCCTCTTGGCCCGTGTGTATTTACCTATTTGCACATAATGCTGCTCTCAGCATTCCAGTGTGGGATGGGAACAGCACCCCCACAAACCCCCACCCCCATTAGTAGATGCCTGGCCCCTCCTAAGAATGCAGATTCAGAGTAAAGAGGTTACAAGCCCTTAGGAGGCAGGCACCATTGGAGGCTGAGAGGTTCCAGGATGTAATGGGATCCATGAATGTGATGGGTAAGATCTTGGGCTGCTCTCACAGGTACACCCCAGGTAAGAGCTGAGTTCCGGGGAAAGGGTAGCCATGCCAAGATCTGGGGAGAGTGGCTAGGCAGGAACAAGGGATAGGGGCACGAGTGGAGTTCCCGGCTTTCAGAGAACGAGCGACCGCGGCCATCTACTAAGGAGCTTGGATGTCATTTGTAAGTGAATTATTGGTAAGCCCCTGGGGTCCTAAGTAAGGGAGCATCAATAATCACACCACACTTTGGAGATAGGCTTGGCCACAGTGGGGCAAGAATGGAGGCAGAGAGAGCAGAGGGCAGACCGGCAAGTGTTCAGGGAAGCAGTGGTCTGGGCTTAACCCAGAGAAACAGGAGGGGAAGACTAGTATTGGGAATGCGTTGAAAATCATGGTCTTGCCAGCCACCTAACCGTTAGTAGTGCTGCAGCTTAACTTGTACAACTAACTGTATGTATGGAGGAGTCATTTGTGTGGCACACACCTATTCTCTCAGGAAGATGATGTGAGATTTGAGATGGGTTTCTGCAAAGCAGTCTGCATCACTGTGCCTAGCAGATCTGCCTCTGCCTGTAGGCAAAAATGTGTCCATATGTGAGCTGGATGTGACTCTGCCTTGGGGAAACAGGCTATGCTGAAATAAAGGAAGTGTTGAGATGGTTGCTGAGCCCTGCAGAGAGATAGATGCTACTGGAATGAACGCTACCATCTACGGCCAGATCCTTGTGTGTAACCATGAGAAGTGGCTTTGGCCCTGATGGCTCTGAGAAGTAGAGAGCTATTGAAAGTCCCGGAGAAGGGCCTAAAGCCTTTGGCTGAGATGGCCATCCACAGTGGCCAGCTGCCTGCCTTTGCAGCCATAATTGTCCGGCCCCTTGTTTCTCCCCTTTGGCTGGAATCTCTCGTGTCTTCCCATCTAGCTTGTATCCTGCCTATTCACCGGTAGACTCTGTTTGACCAGGACTCTACAACTTGCCTGGCCCCTTGTCCTCTGGCAGGCCCATTTCTGCCCTCCCATCTGCTTGTGAGATCAGAGATTTGTCATGTTGGAAGGCCCAGAGAGGAAACAGGAAAGGCAGGCCTTGGCAAGTTAGGGGGCTGAGGAATCCAGACTGAGAGAGGCCTCAGGGCCCTAGCTTATCCATCAGGGAGTCTGCCCCTGCCCATTTCAGCCCATGGGACTGGCTGGCCCTGTGCGTCACTCAGGCTTCCCCCACTCTAAGAGCATGGTCTTGAGAGAGGTGGGAAAAGGGGAGTCACTCAGGACCTCCTGTAGTTTGTCATGTTTCTCAGTGTCCCCATGCCCCCAGCACTGTCTAGGAAGGGATCCTGAGGAAAAGTTTGCTCAGGGAAGGGGAATGGTGAGAGGTCCGAACTGCCCTCTCTGTCATCCCCTGTGCAGTTTATAACATGGCTTCTATTTGACAGAGGAGGAAGACAAAGCTTAGAGACATCATGTTGCTTGGAAGTTCACGTAGGTATGAGTAGTGGGGCCCGGCGGTTTTGAACTTGTGTGGAGACAGAGTACTGTGGAGGAGTCTGTCATGGTGAGACACTCAGCACCTCAGCACCTCTCTGGGTGCTTCCTACTGTGCTGTTCGTGCTCTGGAAATGAAACCCAGCTGGTGCACCAACTCATCTTGTCCTATGATATAAAAGTGACATGTATTGGGGCTGAAGAGATGGCTCAGTGGTGAAGAGCACTGGCTGCTCTTCTAGAAGACCCAAGTTCAATTCCCAGCACCCACATGGCAGCTCGCAAACATCTGTAACTCTAGTTCCAAGGGATCCAACACCCTCATAGAGGCAAAATCAATAGACATGAAAAGTAAATAATTTAAAAATGTACAGTGGTCATTGTTAAGTGAGTCTGTGTGTGACTATTGCTGGAACATTGCTGTAGGGGTGCTCTGTGTGTTGTGATTAGTGGAGTCCTGAACAACATAAAGTAGAAATTCCCTCCACTCTACACAGCAGTTAAGATTCCCAGGAAATAGCTGGGCATGGTGACCCACAACCCCTACAGTCTGGATCCAGAGGCAGGCAGATCTCTGTGAGTTCGAGCCAGCCTTGTCTACTAGTTCCAGGGCAGAAAAAGCCTGTCTCAAAAAATAAGAACAAACAAAAATTACCAGAAAATTCACAGTTCTCTGTGTAGACCCAAATATTTTTCTGCCACCATTTATGGGTCTTGATATTTGAGTAGGGAAGGACTGATCACTAATTGAACATACAGGAACCAGGTAGAGTTCCAGAAGAGAGAGGACATGGAGTGAAGGCTTTGAGGAAGCTTGTCCTGAGACTTACTGACATGGGTGGGTGGGGGAAGAGCATGGCAAGAGAAGCCAGTGGTAAAGACAGGCTCCAAAGCTGCACAGAAAGCCTGTCTCGAAAAACAAAACAAAAAAACAAACAAAAAAATTAACTTGAGTTCTTGGAGATAAACAAGAAAAGAATGGTTATGGTTTGTAATGTGTTTGTGTGTGCAGTTGAAAGAGGGTCAGTTGCACTAGCTAGGCTTTTGTTGACATAAGCTGGAGTCATTTGAGAAGTAGAAACCTCAACCAAGAAATGCCTCCATCAGATTGGCCCGTAGGAAGCCAGTGGGGCCTGTTCTTGATGATTAATATAGAAGGGCCTAGCCCACTGTGGGCAGTGTCACTTCTAGGTAGGTAGCCCTGGGGAGTATAAGGAAGCAGTCTGAGCCAGGCAGTGGTGGTGCATGCCTTCAATCCCAGCACTTGAGAGGCAGAGGCAGGCAGATCTCTGTGAGTTCGAGGCCAGTGTGGTCTACAGAGTTAGTTCCAGGCTAACCAAAGCTGTGACATAGAGAAACCCTGTCTCAAAAAACAAAAAATGAAAGCAAGCCAGAAAGCAGCATTTTCCCATGGCTTTGCTTCAGTTTCTGCCTCCAGGTTCCTGCCTTGACTTCCTTTGATGATGAAGTACAAATAAATGTAAGATGACACAAACCCCAACTTGTCTTTATTATAGCAAAAGAAGCTTAACTAACACAATCACTATGGCAGGCCCTATACCCGAGGCTTGTTCATTTACTTTGTGAGTGTTTTGCCTGCCTGCCTGCCTGGTGCCTGAAGAGTTCAGAAGAGGGGTCTGATCCCTCTGGAGCTGTCTAAAGACAATCTGGGTGCTGGGACTCAAACCTGGGACCTCTGTAAGAACAAGTACTCTTAACAGCTAAGCCATTTCTCCAGCCCTGTTTTATTTTGATGTTTCTCTGTTTATATAGCTTTGGCTGTCCTGGAACTTACTCTGTAGACCAGGCTGGCCTCAAACTCACAGAGATCAGCTTGCTTCTGCCTCCTGAGTGCTGGAACTAAAGGTGTGTGCCCCCATTGCCTGGCTTTAGTTTGTTTTTTGAAAAACAAATTTATGTATATGTGTCTGTTTGCTATGTGTGTGTAATGCTTGCAAAGGCCAGAAGAGGGTATTGCAGCCTCTTGGAGCTGGAGTAAAAGGCAGCCTTGAGCCACCTGATGTGGACTCTGGGAACCAAACTCAGGTCCTCCGGAAGAGTAGTAAGTGCTCTTAACTGCCATGCCATCTCTCTGGCCCCTTCTTTGACATTTTACACATTAATAATGTAAATTTTGATCAAAAGCAATGTATTTTTTGTTTTTGAGACAGTTTCATGACCTCTGGGGATGACCTTGAACTTCTGATCCTCATGACTCTCCACTTCCAATGCTGGCATTACAGGGATGAGACCAGTTTATGTAGTTCTGGGGATTGAACCCAGGCTTCATGTGTGCTAGGCAAGCTCTATCCCCTGGCTTCACCATATGGCCGGAACTCACCATGTAGACAAGGCTGCTCTCTAAATCACAGAGATCAGAAATCTCAGATTACGGGCATATGCTACTACACCTCGCTATACCTAAGTTTTAGACGGCTCCTCTGGTCCCTGTGTTGCCTGGACTGTTGGGGATAGGAGAGGGGGCTGGAGATGAGTGTTGCAAAGGAATGAAGACAGACAGATGGACAGAAAGCTGGGATCAGGTGGTCTGGGCTCTAGGATGGAGAAACTTCAGCTTGAAAATTATATGGTTGGAAAAAAGAAACAAAACCTGAAGATTAGTAAAGGACAAACAGTCCCAGTACAGATCAGTAAACCAGAGATGGCTCAGAGGTTAAAAACACTGGCTGTTCTTCCAGAAGACCAGGGTTCAGTTCTGAGCACCCACAAGGGCTCACTATCACCTGTAACACCCATTCCAGGGATATAATGCCCTCTTTTGGCCTTTGTGGGCATCAGGCACACAACTGGTACAGATATACATACAGGCACAACAGTCATATGCTTAAAAGATAAAAAAATTTCTTGGAAAAGAAAAGTATAATGCCTGAAGAAACAGGGCTCATTTGTCTAACTGCTAAAAGCAAAAACAAAACAACCGAGGAGGTTCTGAAGACCAGTTGGGTGCCAGATTGAATTGGGAGACCTAGACAGCCCGAGACATCTGTACCCAAAGCGAGAGGTTGTGAATGGAGACCAGGTCCAGGGCAGCAGCTGGCAGGGGTGGATGAAAGGAAGGCATCTCATGGTCTTGCACCTGGTCGGACAGAGCAGGGGTCCATCCATGTATGTTATGTCATGAGAATCAGGCCCATCTGTGTTGGGAGCTGAAAATTATGCTATTAGAGAATTTCTCCAGTATCCTATCTGGGAGCTCTGGTCTGCACTGTATTGCAGATGCTAGCTGATTTGCTATTGGATAGTATGGCCTCAGTGGAGTATGTCCCCTAGTTTTACATCTCTATAGAACTAAGCATTTGAATAGACCTGCACCAGGGCGGAGGGCTAGGTCTACTGAGGAGAGAGGGTTTTGAGGTATCTGCGGAGAGGGCCTAGAGAGGTTAAGGAGAAACGGTTGCTGGTGTCAGTGAAAAATGATTAGAAAGGAGTTGAGTTGAGGAAGATGCTGGAATAAAGGAGAGACTCCAGTTTTGTGGCATGGAACTGAGAACTCTCCAAAGATGACTAGATGCTTGTGTCTGGTCTTTATGCCGTTGGGTTACTAGGAATTTCCAAGTCCATGATCCCCTAACTCAGGCCGTACCATGTGGCTTCTATGGTTTGGGACTGAGACAAGCCGGGCCACAACACATCTGGGAGAGGGTTCATTTGCTGTGGTGCCTTTTCTCTTCCTTGCCCAACTAGGGGTGGTCTAGCCTACCTTTCCCTTCACCAGGGAGTGCTCGCTGTTTCTTGGCTTTGCTGGGAAGTACATTCTGCAGTCTAAACTTAGGCAACGGAAGGAAGGAGGAAGGAAGGCAGGCACCCCTGGGCTTCCCAAGGAGGAGAGGGCAGTTCAGGAAATGGCCAGCCCTGGCTAGCTCCTTACCCCAGCTCTCTGGAACAGGCATGTTGGGGGCATGGCTGCCTCTGACACAGGACTTTGTAATGAGGGGGCTTCCTACTTGTCAAGGCCTTGCTACTCTTCTGCTTATAGTGGGCAGAAGCAGGACCAAGCCAAGCTAGAAGCTCCCATTGGGCATTGGCAGGAGGCAGGCCATTCCGGTCCTCTCCGGCTTCTGGCAGCACCACTTAACTACTTGCTGGCCGGAGGTCGCAGTGCACCTGTTGACAGGGCCCAGAGATAGAGGACCTGCCTTGCTGGGATAGAGACGGCAGGCTTGATTGAGGACAAGAACAGAGGCATGGCTGCAGGCCATGGTGGCTCCAGATCAGGAAGTTTTATTGCTGACATGCAGGAAGAGTCCCCATGTAGTACAAAAATACGTCTTTATACAAACTTTTTTGTGACTTTTTCCATTTTGTTTTTTTTTTTTGTTTTTTTTTGTTTGTTTGTTTTTGTTTTTTCTTTACAATAGGACTTCTCAGTGTATGACACCAGTGAGGGAAGGCCCAACCTCCTCTTATCTGCATTGCCAAAAATACCATCAGTCCTAGGGTTGACCTCGGCAGGAATCAGGCGGTCTGATGGGCTCTGCAGACCTGAAGGTATTGCTTTTAAAAGGAGGACTATGGATGCAGGCCTAAGACACTAGGCAGGGGCTCCACCCAGGAGGGCCCTTAACCAGGCCTCAGAGCCTCACTGGAGGGCAGTCATGGGCTGGAGTCCAGGCTGACTGCATTTCTGCTCCCTTAGGAGACTTTTTGTTATCAAATAAATATAGAAAAGAGCCCCCACTGCCCCCAGCACCATGCCCTGACTCTCAGCGGCCAGATGGCTGAACTAGAGGCAGGGCTGGGTGCTAGGGGAAGTGCTGGGCTCAGGTGGGTTCCTGCAGACCCAGCAAAACAGAGGCACAGGCGCCCAGGGCTAGATAGGGGATATGGGGAGGAAGGGGCATGGGCGGCCCTGCTACGGCTGGCAAGAGGTGGCCCCATTTTTTCCAGATGGGGAAACTGAGGCACAAGGAGGTTTTTTTTTTTTTTTTTTGGGAACTTGCCCAAGGTCACTCACAGTGAGTCAGCTTTTCAGGGGGTGAGGGGCAGCTCACACTCTAGGAAACATGGCCTCCCCCACTGGAGAGCAAGAGGCAGGAAGTCTAGGACTGCCAGGAGGGGGACATCGATCGTCCTCTCTGAGGGTACACAGGGTGTAGGCCTCCAAAATTGGGTCTTTGCTTGGTACTGGGTGTGCCAAGTCCAGTGCAGGAAGGGGCATTCTGGAGAGAACAGCATTTCTGGCAAGACGGGCATCCACTTCAAAATTTCGGCTCAAAAAGGATAGCAGGGCTGTTCTCAAGCCAGGTAGGTAGGTAGGTCCCCGTTCCCTACAGGTTTTCTCCAAGTCTTCCACCCCTAGGTAGGCATCTGCCCTGGGATGGCCACAGGTCCCTTCACACCACGTCCATGTCACCTGCATACCACAAGAGGATGGAGGAGGCAGGGCTAATGCGCACGTGCAGCACCTCAGAGAAGCTACTGAGACAGACAAAGAGCCAAGTGACAAACAAAGGGCCCAGTGGGTGAGAGCAGAGGATAACTGGCAAGAGAACTCCTAGGTGCCTGGGGGCGAGAAGGGAGCCTACATAGAGATGTGGGCCCATTATCCAGCCAGGCTGGGGGGCAGAGAAGTTGGGTGCAGTAAAAAAATAAATATATTTGAATTGGGCGGGAGATGAGGTGAAAGTGTTCCAAAGCTTAGACTGGGGGCGGGCCCTGGGGTAGTGGTGGGGACATGGTCAGTGGCAAGGGTGCTTACTGGGGGCCAGTAGCGAGCTGCAAGGTCAGCTTATATGGACTGTGAGGAGCAGTGGCCTGGCCAGGCTGTAGCTGTTCCAGAGCCTGGATGGCGAGCATAGGCTCCCCTCTTTCCTCCCGGCACTCGGACCAGAGACAGCATGGTTAGGTAGACAGAGGTAGATTAAAATGTCATGATTAAAAGCAGATCAGGTATCTAGAATTCTCAGATTAAAAAAACAAACAAAAAAAAAAACCCAAAAAAACAAAAACCAATCAAGCAATCATCCCAAAAGGTAGCTTTGTGGTACCTCTGTTGACCCTGGCTGTGACCTGGGCTGTCCCTATCCCTGCCCTGTCCCTATAGCAGCCTGGGAGTCAGTCCAGCACTGCTGGGCTGGGCCTAGGCCGGATGGCTGGGCTGAGGAGAGCTGTGCTGGGGCTGGTGCCCTAGCTGAGGGCACTATTTCCGCAGATAGCGCTGTGCCAGGATGGCTGTGTCCAAGGAAGTCATGGGCTGTGCATCATGTCCCAGCCGCCGCACTGGTGGCATGCTACCAAATTGCCGCTTGGGCACCCATGTCCGGGCCTCGTGAATGGAGCTTTTCTCTTCAGCAAGCAGCAGTTGCTGTCGCATGTAGTTCTCAAACTCGTACTGGGAGCATTCCTCTGTTACCTTTGCCTGTGAGACCGAGAGACCAAGGTGAAGACAGAACACAGGGAACCAGGGCTGGGCAGCCTGGCTGCTGAGGTCACGCTTCCCAGGCACCACCATTCAGGCTCTGTCTCCCTAGAGGCTAAGCGTGGGGCCCTCAAGTCCTCCAGCCAACTGGCCCTCACCTTGCTAGCCGATGTGAGTAGTTACAGGGGGTCACAGCTGTGCACAACCCTGTCTTCTGACTTGATCTCCACCTTCCAGTTTTACATCACTCACCCATGGTGGGGGTGTATATGTGTGTGTGAGGGCGGGGTGCAGGTGTGTCTCCTCACAAAGGGTCTCTGAACTCAGAGGGGCTGATGCATGCCAAGGGTTGAGAGCAGAGTTGCTCTCCAACCGTGGCTGCAAGCCGAGCTCCCTCCTGTGCAGGCAGGCAATGCAAGACTGCAGTGGCAGGCCCTGACTAGCTCCCCGGCTGCCAAGCTGTGTGACTGTGGACACATCACTTCACTTCGCTGATCCTCGGGCTCTTCCTTTGTCAATGGGATAATGCCCCACAGGCTTTAGGGTGGACTGATGGGAGTTGGCTAGGGCTTCCAGGCATGGCCCCTCCTGGTCCTACTCACTCACTGCTTACTAGGGAGCTCCAAATGAGGGTTCCTATAACACTCAGGTCCAATTTCCCTCTTGGGGGTGCTCCAAGACCACCCACAGCTGATGACTAGCACTCCTGTCTCTGTCCCCACCTGTGGCCCAGCACTTTCTCCAGTGCAGGGAATCGGGAGGAGAGACAAGAGGGACAAATGAATCATCTAAAAAATGAAAAGCAGGAAGGGTGAGAGAGCCCAGTGAGTCAGCCATGGAGAGAAATGGGACTTGGACAGGAAGAGGAAGCCAGCAGAGGCCCAGGTGGCTGCCTGGCACTGGGGCCTCCCAGGAGCTGGCTCTGTCCATGTCAGCTGTCTCTCTCTTCTCAGGCTGGGGACCTCGATGGACAGGACACAGGCAGGCCACAGTACCTTCCTGTTGCCAAGGCTGGGGGAGGAAGCCCTGCACACATCTACCCTCGCCTCCCTCTCCACACTCACCTCCTGGGAGCTGTCAGAATTGCTCATTTGGTCATCAATGTCAGGAACCACTTGTAAAGGCCCACTCAGAGAGGACAGGGACTGCCTGCCGGGAAGAGGGACATGTCAGATTAGGTCTCTACTGCTCCTAACTTGTCTCGAGTCAGTGCAGCTTAGGATCCAGCCAGGACCTGCCTAACATGGCTGACTGCTCTGGGCCTCTCAGCTGCTGCAAGGGCTGTGGTAGGAACAGCTGGCACATCTGGCAGGCAGGAGATGCTCACTCTGCACTCTACCTACACCCTCATAGCCCTACCATTAGGATAATCTGAAGCTGATGGTACAGCAGAGAAATGGGTTGCTCATCTGTGCACGGTGACAGCTCCTTGCCTTGTGCAGGTCCACTTACCAAGATGCAATGATGGCACTGAGGGCCTCAAGGACATCCGCAGCGGCCAGGCGTTGCTGAGGGTCAAGGACCAGCAGTTTCCGGATAAGACACACTGTGTTCTCAGAGACCCTCCCATCCCTGGACAGGGAGGAGGAAGAAGAAACCTCAGCAGGGTGATGGGGGCTGGCCCTTGACACAGGGCTCTAGGACCCCCGTGGTGTTGCTGTCTCCTCACTGAAATCCCAGAGAGCCAGTTGATCCCTTCCCACCCCTCCCAGGAGGCAAGACTCACTCGGGGATGGTGTATTCCGCAGCCTTGATCTTGCGGAAGAGCTCCTGTGGGATGCTGTCGTAGAAGGGGAACTGGCCGTAGAGCATGGTGAAGAGAACCACACCCAGGGCCCACATGTCACTAGGCTTGCCCCGGTATGGCCGGCCTGAGGACAGAGCACATACACACTCACTGGGATTGATGAACCTGGGCAGCTGCTCACTCCAAATCCCACCTTTGCCTCAGGTCCTATTTCCATTCTTACTCCCAGGGAAGCACAACGAAGTCCCTTGAGCTCTTGCATGCTTGCCAGTCCCCTGCTAAACAGGTCAACTTAGCCTTAGTATCCTTATCTGTAAAAAGGGGTTTGTGACATTATCCTTAGGATAGCAGTATAGCTTTATTTGGGCACAGGAGTGTTGAGACAGGGTCTTGTTATGTGGCCCAGGCTAGCCTAGAACTCAAGATCCTCTGGTCTCGGCCTCCCGAGTGCTAGGGTGCCAGATATGTGGTACCATGCTCACACAGCTGGGCTTCTAGTTTGTTTATATATATATATATATATATATATATATATATATATATATATATATATATATATATATACATACATATATATATATAAAATTTCTACTCTATTTATTTATTTATTTATTTATTTATTTATTTATTTATTTTGTATGCATTGTTCTGTCTGCATGTATGCCTGCAGGCCAGAAGAGGGCACCAGATCTCATTACAGATGGTTGCTGGGAATTGAACTCAGGACCTCTGGAAGAACAGCTAGTGCTCTTAACCTCTGAGCCATCTCTCCATCTCTCCAGCTTCTAGTTTTTAACTTTGCAGCTTAAATGCCACATCTTGGGAAAGATCTCTTAGTGACTTTATATGCTCTTTTGGAATGACCATCTCTCATAGCTCTAACCTGATGTGTGCACGTGACCAATCTGTCTTGTTCCTCCATTAGAACAGAGATCTTGTACAGGGTGGGTCAGGACTGGCTTGGGCTCAGTAGCCCACAGGCTACCATCTGTCCAAGGAGTGCACACATACCACTGAGCACATCAGGACTGATGTAGGCAGGGCTCCCCCTCTGGTCCTTCAGCAGGTCCCCCTCACTCACAAGGTGTTTCCCAAGGCAGAAGTTGGTGATAGTTATCCGATGGGTCCTAAGAATGGGAGGCAGAGAGTGAACACAGAGGCAGCAGAGCCAGGCACCCTGCTCGGTCAGGTCCCTATTCCAAATAAAAGCACCCAGGCTTCTCTCTTCAAGAGGACAGCAGCTGCCTCCCCTTAACCTGCTGCGCTAGCTCAATGTCACGGTACAGCTCAGAGCTGGAACGATTTCCAGAGACTTTCACCAACACTCAAGATTGGGAGTAGCCCACAACTTCAACATAATTTCCCACATACAGGAAAAAGACCAGTTGATATGAATGACCTTAACCCTAGTGGGCGGGTCCTGAGTCCCCCTCCCCCCCAGTGGCCACAGCAGGCAACCTCTCAGCAGGAAGCCTGGTATACCAGGCCTGGGCCTCACATGGGGATTCTGTCCCATGGGAAGTTTCCACACGCTCTGGTGGAGGGTGGAGGCTGATCCTATGCCATGCCCTCCAGCTGACAGCTGTGTGTGTGTGTGTGTGTGTGTGTACATGTTGTATTATGAAGGACAAATGTCATGGCTGGTATCTTTCTCTATTGCTCTCTACATTAGTTAGTTAGTTTTTGGTTTATGTGTATGGGTGTTTTGTCTGCATGTATTTGTTTGGTTTCCTCCCAACCCCCCAAGACAGGGTTTCTCTGCATAGCCCTGGCTGTCCTGGAACTCACTCTGTAGACCAGGCTAGACTCTAACTCACAGAGATCCACCTGCTTCTACTTCCTGATGCAAGGATTAAAGGCGTGCACTACCACCACCCAGCTTGCCCCCATGTATATTTATGTACCATGTAAGTGCTTGGTGCCTGTGGAGGCCAGAAGAGGGCAGTGGACTCCTGGGACTGGTATTACAGAGGGTGAAACATCTCTCCAGCTCCCTTTACTTACTTTCCTTTTTTTTTTGTTTTTGTTTGTTTTTTTGAGACAGATTTCTCTGTATTGCTTTGGAGGCTGTCCTGGAATTTGATCTGTAGACCAGGCTGGCCTCCATCTCACAGAGATCTGCCTGCCTCTGTTCCGCAAGTGCTGGGATTAAAGGTGTGAGCCACCACCGCCTGGTCTTACATTATTTTTTGAGACAGGGTCTCTAACTGGACCCAGAGCTCACCAATCTGGCAAGCCTACCTGGCCAGCAAGCCCCAGGGATTCTCTTGTTTATTTCCCTGTGCTCATGCCATTCTGGCTTCTTATGCTAGGGATCTGATCTCAAATCCTCCATACTGGCCTGGCAAGCACTTTAACCAACTCAACTATCTTCCCTGCCTCCAGCCTATCTTTTCTGGGGACTGGGGGGAGTCAGGTCTCCCTGGCATCTATTTAATTAGGTGAGTATGACATCTCAGCTCTTCTCAGTCCTCAGAATCCTCAGAGCTAACAGAATGGGAATGGAGGGTGACAGCACAGAGCAATGGTACAATTAACCATTCCAACCACTCTCTTTCTAAACCCACTATAGGCCAAAGCTACCCGGAGACTCAGCACTGGGAGGGTTGAGAACCTGTCCTGCTTCGAGGTAGGGCGTGCACACTGCTGTTGATGTTGGCTGGCTAGCCATGAGCCCAATGGCTAGGAGATGGCCAACAATGCAGGTCTGGGTCTTTACTGGTTCAAGGTCTTAAAGAGAGTTCCAGGAAGGGAAGGCATTATGAGCTGGTGACATTGCCAAGGCCAGCTCTGCCATGTTGGGGTCCTGATGCATGGGCTTGTGGTGGCTCAGCATGCAGAACCCACACTGTTTTGTGAACGAGGCACTGCCCTGAAGTGTAGCAGGTCACTATGGGCTGCAGCATCACATACACAGGCTTAGACACATTTCAGAGTCACCCATGAGACAATGTGTTGTCTATTTCCAACAACTTTTGTGGCTGTTTTGTTTCCTTTAGTGCTAGGGGTCAAAGCCAGGGCTTGTGCACACCAGCCCTATCGCCAAAACTTATGAATCCCAGCACTAACAGGGGAGGAGCAGCAGGGCCTCTGGGAGGTAACACTGACATCAGTGAGGAATGTGCTCCCATACAGTGGCCAGGAGTCACTTAGTAAGATGGGGCAGCCTTGGCATAAGGTGGGGAGCTGAGGCGAACAGACGCTGCTCAGCTGTTATGGTGGAAATGGTGGGTGGCACACGGAAACCATACAGCGCTAGCTCTGGGGCCTATAGCACTTCTGTCCTTTTGCCAGGACTTGGGTGGACTGTTTTCATTTATTCCCACAGCGGCCTGAGAGGGAGACTTTTCAATACCTAATATCAGATGGTACAACTAAGGTCTAGAAGTAAAGGGACCTGCCCAAGGTCACACAGCTTGGAGAAATTGGAAGGTAGGTCCAAGCCCAGGTCTGTTAGGCCCCAGAGCCCCCTGGGAAGAGCTCAGCCCCCAAAAGACTTTTCCTTCCATCCAGACTGACTCATCTCTTGACTTGGGTTTCAGACTGCCTTGGTCTAGAAAAAGACTCTTTTCTAAGAGTCATCAAGCAGGCGGCTTTGGGCTTAGAACCTTTCTAGGAAGCTCATGTGTGGTCCTCCCACTACAGCAGGGGGTGAAATGGGGGATGGCCCTTGCCAAGAGGACCTGTGGGAGCACCAGTGAGGAGTCTCTCTTCCCTAAGTACACTGGCCTGTACTTACTGGCTGAGCATGGCAACTGGGGAACATCGGTGAGATATTCAATGAGGGGCCTTGTACACACTTCTTTCTAGAACAGTCTCCAGGGCAGTGTATGTGGCTGTGAGTGGATTTCCCCAGGAGGCTCTGGGAATTCTGCTGGCAAAGGGTTTGGCACAAACAAAGGCCAGTCTGTCTTCCACATTCCCAATGGAGACATGGGTTGCAGCTCTTACCCCAAGATGCCCTGCAAAGGCCTGCCTGGTGGCCTGTAGGACAGAGCCTAAGAATGCAGACAAAGGGTCTCAGCGAGGACCATCTGCACGCTGGGATGCAAACACTCCAGCTGTGAGCCTCTGTGTCATAGGACTGTAAGGTTTTACACAACAGCACTGGCTTTCTGTGCTGGCCACTGTGGCCACAGATGTAGCCTGTCGTCTCTGAGGCTTGGGATGCTTGCTGGGAGGACTGCTCGATCTGGAGCGATCCTGCCTCTGCCATTTCCTTGCTGTGTGAATCTCTTGCTAAACTGGAATGTCTGGGGGAAAATGGCAAAGCCTGACTCTCAGGATCTGAGTAGGTAGGAAGATGAACACCGTGGGCAAAGAGCTCCAGGCTTGCCAGAGGTAGCTGTCAATAGCCTCTCATTCTCTGCCAACTGGCATGCCTAGGAGAGCCTAGGACAGACGCTGTCTCTGACATGGGTGACAACCAGCCCTGGAGCACATGCATTAATGTTGCTCTAGGTCCTGCCAGCAGGACGCCCAACCTTCCGCCTGTGGTGGCTGTTCTGCCACCGAGGTACACAGAGTCTTTCCCACAGGAAAGCTTGGTAATGCTTGACTGCTCTGCCACCACCACCCACGTTGGCAGGGTGGCATACAGCTCCCCAGAAGTCCCAGACCCCCCAACTGGTCCTGACAGGAGGCAAAGGCATTGAGGGGTGGCGGAGCGATGTGCGTCAGCAGGGGCTGCTTTGGGTGAGTCATACTTCAGCTATGGCCCTGGGCTACCACTGTGTTCTGCTTTTCTAGGAATTGGTATGCCACTTGCCTACCCAAGAGGAAGGAGGAAGAGGGAACTCACAGCCAGCCTCACATAACCCCACAGAGGACTTCAGATTTCAGCCCTTGCTTTTTCCCGTTCCCTTCCCTGGGAGCTCTCATCCCATCTGTCCGCATTCCACTGCTTAGCACAAGAACCCGGCAGGGTGAGTGGGAAAGGGCTGGCATGCCAAGGATGAAGTGGAAATATGAGGGGCTTTCCATGCTATATCTCCATGTACCTTTCTTGAGTGTCTTGGTGCTCAAGTGAAAGGTAGCTGGAATCTGTCTAAGAGGTACAGTGTCCCGCAACCCGAAGGTCACTCAAGACCTGCTACCTCTGTGCTGAGGACTCCAGAGGTGCACCTTCAGACCATGCAGCACTGGGGGCCAGGAGGAGGGAGAGAAGCAAAACCACCAGTGGAAAAAAGAGGCCATGCATGCTAGTATAGTTAACAGGCAGGAGCCCCACTGCGTGTTTCCACTACGACCCTCGGGATGCTCAGTTAGAGAGCCAGCAAGCCAACCGGCAACTGTTAAGAAGAACCTGGGCCCTCTAATCCAGCTGGTTAGGACATGGGCTCTTCAACGTCCCACAAAAGGTCTAGGACAAACAGGACCTAAGCTTTCCTCTTTATTATAGTGTTTTAAAGACAGGGTCTTTCTTGATTATATATAACTCAGGCTGACCCCAAACTTGTAATGCCCCTGCCTCTGGCTTCTGAGTGCTAGGAACCAGGCACAGTACGTAAGTCCTCACGTTGGCGTGCCAAGTCATCCTAAGATAATACACTCTCTAAAACTTTGGGCCAAGGTGGCCAGTGCCCTCCAACCAACACCTGCCTTCTTCTGCTGAGTCCCAGCCAAACCTAGGGAACTGCAGGGCCCTTAGCCTCATCTGAGGGGTGGGAGCTCCTGGCCCCTTGTCCTGTCTCACTCATAGGAACCTCAGGCCCTCCCTCTTAGAATGGACACTGGGGGTGTATTTAGGAAGCACCCCACTTATATATCTATCTGTACCACTCCACTTCTGCAGATGAGAAACAAGCTCTGAGTGTTGGTAACTGGACACATGGGTAAATTCACTTAGCAAGTAAAACGGAGCAGCAGTCTCCAAATAAGAGGCAGCACAGGGTAGGCTCTGAGCCAGGTCTGACCCCCACATCCTGCCCCTTCATCTTCCCTGACTCCTCATTTAGCCAGATTGGGTGAAAGCAGCTGTGGAATTTCCTGTTTCCTTCCCTCCCCTCTGCAGAGTGCAATACTGGGTTCTCATCCCTTCATGCTCTCCGGATGGCAAACTTTTGCTCATCCTTCCTAATCAGCCAGCTCCCCACACTGTCCTCGGTATGTAATGTGATGCTTGTTTTCTGGTCAGTACCCCATCCCCAGATGGCAAGCTACCTGGGGGTAGGTGCTGCACCCCAGAAACAAGACTGTAGTCCCCACACCAGGTAGCCGCTGTTGCACAACACCAGCCAATGGTGCACCAGGCTGCAGCTTTAAGATTGGCCCTGGCCTCTCCTGGGTGGCCCACCTCCCTACAGCTTCTTTTCCTGTGACCATGGAGACTTTGGCTACTGTACAAGGAGAATGGGGCCCCTCCTGGACCGTCCACATCATGGAACAAATCACCACCATGACACTTTTGCTATGAGTATGTGCTGCTGCCATTTCTGCCCCCTAATCTACCCAGAAGGGGAAGGGAGGGCGCGGCTCAGAGAAGCAGGTGAGGTGGTACCTCTCCCCAGTGTGCCTTTCTAGGACTGTGGCATTGCAGAGAGTAGTCCTTCCTCCCAAGAAACCTTATACCACTGCCTTAATCATGGCCGAAGGGGGCAGTGTCCAAGAGAGCAATCTGTTGCCCCTCCCACATCCCCTCCAAGACCCAGGCAGCACTCACTGCCCCACTGGGAGAGCCAGTGCTCTTTCTGTTTCCTGGTGTCCTCCTCTCAACTCCTGGTGTCCTCCACCCATCATGCCAGGCCATTCTAATCCCACGGACACTGCAGAGATCTGGGGGGAGGGGGAGCTGCAGCATGTAGCCCAACTTGATGGCTGCGCAGACAAAGAATGGACACTTACCTTTTATTGAGCACCATGTTCCCAAGCTTCAGGTCTCTGTGCACGATGTTTTTCTGAAAATCAATGAGGGGATGGTTTGCACCAGAAAGTGAGGACTGGGTGGGGTCCACTTTGGAAGATGGAGGCTCATCAGTCAGGGTCTGGGACGGCAAGAGCGCCCTAGGACCTGTCTCTTAGGCCTCATCAAGCATGCACCCGAGGTGAGTAAGAGGTAGCCCAGCAGTCTCCTCAGCTACTTTTCACCCCAGAGCGGCAGCTTATGCGAAAGCCTCCTCTTTCTCTCCCCATCAATCAGCCCATGGAGACAACAAGCTGCAGCCTGGAGGTGGGGGGCAAGGAGCAAGTGCCTCCCTTCTGTGACTGTCTGCTACAGCTATCCCCGAGCTGGGAGGCTATAACTTAGCCTCTTGAGTGACTGGGAATTACTACATGGGGCTCTGCTGGGCTGCCTGGCCCGGGACGGCTGACACTCTTCCCTTGGACACTCCTGGCCACAAAGCACACTGGGGTAAGGTTGGAACCAAGCATCTTTCTGCTGAGTCGAAGCCCAGAAGGATGCTTCTTCTGTGGCACATGGGGCCCTGGACCTCACCTGGTGCAGGGCTTCCACCACTCGGACCACATCGTAGAAAACGACCACAGCCTCCCGCTCGCTGAGCCTCTTCTCCTTGATGACATAGTGCTGCAGGTTGATGAGGTCGGCGGTCTTGTCGCTGAGGTCGTGTGCACAGAGGCAGTCAAGGACGAGGCAGATGCGTTTCTTCATCTTCTTCACCATCCGACCGGACTCTGTGTCCTCAACTGCTTCACAGGTGCGGTCCTGGGAGGCAAGGAGAGACAGCCAAGGCCAGGGGGTTAAGGCCCTCCTTTTGAGGTCCAGAGGGAAATGGCTGAATGTCTGCTGCACTGGTGATGGACACACACAGGTGGCAGGAGCCAGTGAGTGGGAGACTGAGACCTAGACAGCCGACTGGGGTGGTACTCAGCTTCAGGCAATAAGCCCAACATGCTTAAGCTCGACATCTTGGGTGAAGGCTTCATTACATGGAAAGGGCTAAGATCAGTACTGGGCATTTAAGGCCGGCTAGACCTCTCAGCCCACTGCCGCAGCAGTCAAACTGGGGCCTTGGTCCTCCTCCTACTATGGTCCCAGATTCCAGCTATCACCAATATCACTTTCATCCATGTCCAAGACTGTAGATGTTTTTGTTTCTCACTTGTTGGAGACAGGGTCTCACTATGTGGTTGTGACTAGCCTGGTACTTGATATGTAGACCAGGCTGGCCTTGATTGAAGTCACAGAGATCCACATGCTGGGATTAAAGTCGTGTGCTACCATTCCAGGCATAAGACTACTGAAGTTTAAGAGTGGTCACTCCTGGAAAGCTTCAGGGGTCAACACAGTATATTCTGTGTGTCAACCTGACCGCACCTGGAATCAACTAAATGCCAAGTGGTGTTGAAGGGACCAGCTCCCCTTTCGGCAGCCATAATGGCCGAACACGTGCTTGTCTGACCTTGTCCTAGATGCTAGAAAGTCAGATGCCTGCCTCTTGACAAGGAACCAATCACAAGTTAACTGGTGGCACTATGCTATGCTTTACGACCCTGGGTGTACTTTATAGACAAGCGCACAGCAATGATGCACAGAGCATAGCAACCATCCTGGGAGGGCCTATGGGCCATAACAACCAGTTGGCCAATCAACACAGGGAAAGCCCTCCAAGTCTTGAGGCACACCAATCCTGAACCTGTGCATACCCCTAGACACTCCCCTTACGCTGCCCTACAAGATTTCTCTCTGCATCGGTTCGAGCTGTCTTTGCTAGCCATTCACCATGGCGGATGGGTGAAAGACCTGAGCTAACATGGGGTTAGCTCATTAAAAAAACAATAAAGCCTCATGCAGTTTGCAGCAAGCTCTCGAATCTGCCTGGTGATTGGGGTGACCTCGATCATGGCCTAGGACCCCAGATACCTGAGTTTTCTGGGGGTCTAACAGTATACTTGTGAGAGATCTTCTTAATCTGATTATGTGAAGCAAGGAAGATCAACCTTAAATATGTGTGCCACATTTTCTGGTGGTAGCCTAGGTAAAAGGACATGGGAGGAAACTGAGGGGTAGGCACAGTGGAATATACTTTTAATCCCAGCATTCAGGAGGCAGAAGCCAGTATGAGGCCAGTCTGGTCTGCATTTCCAGTTCTAGATTGGTTAAGATTACATAGTGAGCCAGGCAGTGGTGGCGCTTGCTTTTAATCCCAGCACTCGGGAGGCAGAGGCAGGGTGGATTTCTGTGAGTTTGAGGCCAGCCTGGTCTACAGAGTGAGTTCAAGGACAACCTCCAAAGCAATACAGAGAAACCCTGTCTCAAAAAACAAAACAAAACAAAACAAAACATGATGAGATCATGCCTCAAAAAAAAAAAAGGAGGGGGAACTGCTTTTTGCCTGTTTTGGCAAGTCCTTCTACCCTGTTACTGCAGTATTCCTTCACCAGTATTAGATCTAACTTTGGGCTTCCAACACAAACTGAAGACCAAGAGCTCTCCTTCAGGCCATCAGCACCAGACTGGGACTGCTTAAGTATCCAGCCTTGTGGACTGAACTACCAGATTCTCTGCCTTCCTGTTCTCAGGCAGCTATTGTTGGACTGTCTGGACCCTCAGCCTGGGAGCCAGTCAGTAAATGCCCATATGTTCTGTTCCTTTAGAGAACCCTGACTGTCTAAGATAGTGGCTCTCCACATAGCTACAGGACTGCTTGACAGTCACATAAATGGCAAGGAATACATTGCTGGTCTCATAGCTCCACCTCATTAAGTCTAGTTCCCCATACATAAGTAAGGGGGCATTAGCAATCCCTCCCTCCATCCCTCCCTCCCCGATGTCAAGGACAGATAAGCCAGCTGTGGCCTGCAGCAGTCAGGGGTCAGCTACCAACACTGGGCCTGCAGCCCTAGTCATTCTCCTTACTGCAAGGGATCTCAAGTGTGACAAAAACAGGTGGAACTTTATGCTGAGACCCTGCTGGCCAGAGAAGGCCTGGTCATTGGCAGCAGATAGCCAAAGCCCTCTGGGGATTCCTGGAGGAGGAAATAGCCAGATTTCTCCCTAAAGCAGGATCAGCCCTGTGCTTTACTTGCTTCAGGTCCAGGCCCTGTGTCTAACACAGATGACCGCTCAAGGTACTTTCAGTCACCTCTGTTCTGTCATCCAAAAGAATACAAATGAAGGACAAGCATATGAAGATACCAAAACTGTATAGGAAGATATCAGAATCAAGATACTAAAGTCAACTTCATTTCCGTTTAAGGAAAATGCTCCAATTTTTGGAGTTGCCTCTAATGGCAAGTCTAAGAATAAGACCTTGACAGGTGTGGCTGTGGGTGGGTATCTTACTGTTATCCCCAGGCTGGGAAGCTGCAGTTCAGCCTCATTAGCATTTTCCACTTACTTTATTGGTCAGGGATCAAACTGACAGGGAAACAATGGTGATGATGAACAGGCGTCACAGTGGCCAGCACTGGGCGGGCGGGCTCCCAGTGCTACTGTGCATCCATCTGCCTTGCCTACCAGCCTTAGGGCAGGTGCCACTATGATTCTTCCCATTCTACAGAACATGGGTCTAGGACTCAGACCGAAATAACTTGCCTGAGGCCACACAAAAGATGCTCAAGGACATCTGAACAACCTGAATTGCCTGGACAGGCAGGACTGTGGTATATAAAGTCACACTGTGAGAGCTGACCACAGGTGACCCCAACTCTTTCTTGTTCTGCCTTTCAGTCTAGTCTGCCAATCTAGAAAATAGCTGGAAAGAGCACGGAGACATTAAATGACTTCCTTTTTTCCCTTGGAAAATCAGCTCTTCCAAGCAAGCCTGGCTGCTGTAGGTTGTCCTTGTGACCAATCTGGGTAGGCTGAAATCACCATGGGCACTGTAGCAACTGTCATGATCCTACAAATCCCCCTGGTCAGGTCCTGATGGCCAATAGGGAAGGAATACTGAGAGTCACGAGTCAAGTTGGGAGCTGCTCACAGAAGAGATGTGGCAGGACAAGGAGTATGGGGGCCACTCACCTGGAAGAGCCCGTGGTGGTGGACCACGCCGTCCTGTGTGTGCAGCAGGGAGAGCAGCGAGTACTCGGTGTGCAGTAGCATCTTGCCCTGCCTTTCCTCTTGGCTCTCTATTCCTTGCTCCCCTCTCTCCTCAAGGGTGAGAATCTTTAGGGAAGCACAAAAAGAAAAAGAGCAAATGCTTTCCTTTATCTAGGAAGACAGCAGGACAGGGGAAGCAGGCTCACTTTGGCAGTGTGATGCTTGCGCCCGACCCCACACAAGCATGCATGGTTGGCAGCTGCCTTTCTTGACAGCCTGTAATTCACACAGAGCTCTTTAATCAGGAGCTGAGTGAGACTGTGAACTTGATTGTTTCTTGGGAAGAAATGGAGCTACTCGTGCTCACGGGTGATACAGGGGCAAAAGCAAAGAGGAGGGACAGCTGCTAGGACAGCCCTGGTTCTGAGGGTCCCAGCCTGTGCTTGCTTACCTTCAACTGATAGAAGTCATCCGTGCCATCTTTCCTTGCCAAACACTGCACAATGCTTGGTACTGGTGAGTTGCCCAGACGGGGACCTACGGCACATAAAACCATGAGCATATTTTCCAGAACATCACCACCATGGCCTTCTGGCTAGATGTTCTCTTTATACCTACTGAGCTGCCCCCAAAATCTTTAGTGGAGAGTTTTACCTCTTACAGAGTGGAGGAGGACGTGTGTGCCCTTGTCTGATATATACCTGGCTTTGGTGGAGAGTTTTACCTCTTACAAGGTGGAGGAGGATGTGTGTGCCCCTGTCTGATATATACCTGGCTTTGCTAACACATTCCTCAAAAAGGGCTTCCAGAGTGGTGTACACCTGTAACCCTAGCACTCAGGAAGCTCATGCAGAAAGATGGCTGGCTAGCTTGAGTCCAGTCTGGACTAGACAGTAAGGCCTTCTCTGGCATCAATATCCTCAGACCCTTCTCACATGTGCCCCATCTTATCTCCTTTGAGTACTCAGCTGAAGTCTTTTTTTCCCAAACACGTTAAATTTTGTGAGGGCAGAATGATCTATCTTCATCACAATTTACCGCTACACCCCTGCAAACAGCACAAGGCTATTTGCTGGCAGCAGGCACCACTAGGAGCTATTTGTGGGGTGTCTGAATTGGGACTAGGCAGTGTCTGTAAGTACCAAAGGCTGTCCTAAAGCAAAAGTCCCAACAAAGGCTGGAGAGATGGCTCAGAGGTTAAGAGCACTGACTGCTCTTCCAGAGGTCCTGAGTTCAATTCCCAGCAACCACATGGTGGCTCACAACCATCCCTTATGAGATCTGGTGCCGTCTTCTGGTGTGCAGATATACATGGAAGCAGAATGTTGTATACATAATAAATAAATAAAATCTTAAAAAAAAAAAAAGTCCCAACAAGCCCTTGGTGCCAGAGCCCACACTACCTGCAGCCCTGGCCACAACCTGAACTGGCTGAGCCTCAGACACCATGCAGAATGCCCTGCTGCTCCTCAGCCTTCGGAAAACATTCAATTCTACAGGATTTCCATAGTATTCTATAAGAAGTTCTGGGCCAAGCATGGTAGTAAACACCTTTAGTCCCAGCACTTGGGTGGTAGAGGCAGAGGCAGAGGCAGGCAGAGCTCTGTGGGTTCAGGGCAACCTAGTCTAAACATAAGAAGTTCAGGGAAATCCTATTGAAAACCCCTAAAATCAATCATGTTATTCAAGAAAGTCAGGTAGTACCTTAGATGCTTTTGTGAGTTTTTTGTTACTCTAGAGTTCTTATCTAGGGGGTAGGAGGTGAGAGTCTGGCTCCTGATCCAAAGCTGATGTGGTGACAAAAACTGACAACCTCTGCTATGGGGTGACCTCAGCCTGGGTTTTCCATTGGTAAATCAGGGCCCTGCACAGCTGTGGTAGGCACCTTGCTCTGTTGCTGATAGGTCAGAATGAGAGCCCTTGTGCCTGGCCACACCCACTCCCCTAGGGCAGACACTTACCCAGGATGAAAGGCCCTGCTCTCTTGGCATTATTTCCAGCAATGCCACTCCCTAGAGCCTTGGCCTTGGCCGACGTTTCCCCAGCTCCTCTGTCTGATGCTCTCCGCTTCATTCTCAGTTCTGGACAAGACAGAAAAGAGCCTTCCAATGAGTAAAGCAACTACTTTCCTTACTTGAACCCAGCCAGTAGTTCAACTGGAGCATACATCATACACCGCCGCCGCCGCCACCTTCTCCCGACCAGGAGGAACATCAAGGTTCCTGAGGACAAAGAACCACATTACACATCAATGGCAGATGTCCTTGAAGGCAGCGGCCACAGATCACAGAGGGAGTGAGGGTGGGGATGTCTGCTGTAAAGGGGCCAAAGGGATGACAGAAGACAGGACTTGTGTGGGTGCTGAAGACAAACCTCTATACAGACAGCCCAGGCAACCAAGCCCCAGCCCAGAGCAGCTGTTCTCAAAGTGGCCCCCTACCTCCAATGCTCATAGTCAAAAGACCTGTGGTAACCACCCCTAAATCAACTCCAGGTAGTGATGGACTGGGGAACCCTGGGAAATGGTCTCTTATACATGATGCTTATCAAACTTGACTGCATATCAAACTTCTTGCCCACAAAGTTTGAGGAGTACTGGCCTCAAGTTTGATATGTAGTCAAGAATGACCTTGAATTTCTTTTACTTTTAATTAATGAACTATCCATCATGATCACTTGAAAGTAGTAGATACCAAGATAAACTTTTTTTTTAATGAATACTAACTTTCTGGGTTTTTTGATTTTCAATACAGGGTTTCTGTGTAGTCCTGGCTATCCTGGAACTCACCATGTAGAACAGGCTGGCCTCGAACTCAGATCTGCCTGCTTCTGTCTCCTGAGTGCTGGGATTAAAGGTATGTGTCACCACCTCCCAGCATAATGAATACTAACTTTTTTTAAAAAGATTTATTTATTTACTATGTATACAGTATTCTACCTGCGTGAATGCCTGCACGCCAGAGAAAGGCACCAGATCTTATTATAGATGGTTGTGAGCCACCATGTGGTTACTGGGAATTGAACTCAAAACCTCTGCCTGTGCTCTTAGCCTCTGAGCCATCTCTCCAGCCCCATGAATACTATCTTTTAATTGTATGGGTATTTTGAACCCAGGTCCTCTGTAGGAGCAGCAAGTGTTCTCAACTGCTGAGCCATCTCTCTAGCTCCAAGATACTATTCTTTAAAAAAAAAAGAAAAGAAAAGTGTCTGGGCTCAAAAAATTGTCAATTATAAGATTTCGGGGTCCAAACCTCAGCTAAATTCCAGGAGCCTGAATCTCCCATTGTCTTTCAGATGCTAGCTAATTACCACTGGTTGGCTTGGCCTCAGTGGAGAATTTCTCCTCGTTTGCATAACAACAGACATAGGCCATTCGTGTACCCACACCTGTTCTGAGGGCTTGTTTACATGCCTAGGGACTGTTTGAGGGTGCCTCTAGGATTAAAATAATTATTTGATATCAGCTTTATACATGATAGTAGATGTCTTCTGCAGTCACCCCCACTGTTGGAAAGCTATTTAAGAGGATGCTTGAATAAACCGTGGACTTCAGACTCTAGCATAGACTGAGAGCCCTCCTGAAATGACAAGATGTCTGTGTCTCATCTTTATCACCTTTGGGTAGCTAGGAGTTTCCCAGTCCAGCACTCCCCGCCTCAGGGATGGACCCGGGGCCATTCAGCTTGCTCCAGATCGCAGCCCCAAAGACATCAGTCTGGAATAGATAGCCTCTGTGGCATGGGATTGATACAAGCCCGGCACGGCCCAGCAGAAGAGAAAGGATTGGGGATTGTGAGAAATGAGGGAGGGTCACTGTGGCTGCCGGTCAATGGGGTTGTAATTTTCCTGGTAAGCCATCCCCTCCAGAACTTCAGTACAAGGCAAATACAGGGCATCAGGTTCTAGAAGACATTAGCCTCATGACAAGGATAACAGAAACATTAAGTTCTTGTTTTCTTTGGGGAGACAGAGCCCTGGTGGAGGCAGAAGGCGGAGGTCAGAGGGCTCGGGGGAAAATTAACAGGGGTGGGCTGAGACAGCAGCATAGATGGTCTTGGAGAGGGGACCACGAAAGTAAATGTACTGTGGCCAGAGCAACAAGTTCCCAAGAGTCTATGCTGCTGAGAGCCCGATGTGAGGAGCCAGGGAATGGGGAAGGAAGGAGGCCAGGTGAGAGGTGATTTCTTTTTCCATATAGAAGTAATTGGCATTCCCTGCACCAACACTGAAAAACAGGCCAACATGAAAACTATGGAAGCTAACCTCACCACCTAGATGCCTGCTCTCCAGACAGTAATATAGATCACTGTAAAAATATGGACCACACTCTGATGCCATTATGCAATTTCTCCCTATTTCAGGTAGAATTTTATAGTTTGTGAAATATATCCTATTAAGGCTGAAAAAAGGGGGGAGACTAGGTTTGGTGCATGTTGGTTTTTTTTTTTAAAGATTTTTATATTTATTTATTATGTATACAACATTCTGCTTCCATGTATATCTGCACACCAAAGAGGGCACCAGATCAAACAACAAAGGGATGGTTGTGAGCCACCATGTGGTTGCTGGGAATTGAACTGGGGACCTCTGGAAGAGCAGTCAGTGCTCTTAACCTCTGAGCCATCTCCCCAGCCCTTGTTTTTTTTTTTTTTGTTTTGTTTTGTTTTTTTGTTTTTTGAGATAGGGTTTCTCTGTGTAGCTTTGGAGGCTGTCCTGGAACTCACTCTGTAGACCAGGCTGGCCTCGAACACACAGACATCCGCCTGCCTCTGTCTCCTGCTGATGCAGGTCTTTAATACCAGCATTCAGAAGGCAGAGGCAGGCATATCTTTGTGAGTTTAAGGCCAGCCTGGTCTATACAGAAGAGTTCGAAGACATCCAGGGCTGCACAGAAAAGACGGTCTCAAAGCAAAACAAAGCACTTGCCTAGAGTGTCCTAGGCCTTGGGCTCCACCTTTATCACAGAAAAAAAAAATTGTATATGATAAAAGCAGCTGACAATCTTCTTCAGTGGCATCATGTGAGATTTGGTTTATCTCCCACTTTACGGACATCCATTTCCTTTCATTTTTCTTTTTATGGTCACACATATGCCTGTACATTTTAGCTCCTTTTTTTTTTTTTTTTTCCTTTAAAGTTTAACCCCCAAGGCAGCCAAACTGTAAATCTCAGCAGCTATGCAGGGGAGGGAATGGAATATTTCAGCACATGGAGGTCAGCCACACTGCAAGCAGCCACCTGGTGGATGGGGAATGTGAGTGACTAAGGAGCCCAAAGTACTAGAAAAGCAAACCTAGGTTCTGGCCAGCACCAGAAAGAAAGAGACAAAGAAATACTTATGCCTTTCTGAGTCAGGCCTCAGAAAGGTGGGCAGACCCAGAAGAACCTCATGGCAGCTCATAGGGACTGCTCTTGGCATTCTGTTCCCTTTCTTGGGATAAATGCCAAGAAGACTGCGGGGTCAAATCGGGTAAAGAACTTTATTTTTATAATTTTCATTAATTTTTTTTCAGACAGTCTCACTCTAGCCCAGTGGTTTTCAAACTTCCTAACGTTGTGACCCTTTAATAATTATGTTGTGATGACCCCAACCATAAAATTATTTTTGTTGCTACCTCATAACTGTACTTTTTGCTACTATTATGAATTGTAATGTAAAAATCTGTGTTTTCCAGTGGTCTTAAACATCTCCTTGTGAAAGCGTCATTCACCTGCCAAACGAGCTGTGACCCACAGGTTGAAACCCACTGTGTCTAGCCCATGATGACTACTATATAGTTCACTATATAGTCCAAGCTGGCTTCAAACTTGTGGTTGAAAGGACCAGCTCCCCTCTTGGCAGCCATAACAGCCGAACACGTGCTTGTTTGACCTTGTCTTAGTCACTAGAAAGTCCGATGCCTGCCTCATGACAAGGAACCAATCAGAAGTTAGCTGGTGGCGCTATGCTTTACGACACTGGGTGTACTTTTACGGACAAGCGCACAGCAATGACGCACAGAGCATAGCAACCACCCTGGGAGGGCCTATGGGCCATAACAACCAGTTGGCCAATAAACACAGGGCAAGCCCTCCAAGGCTGGAGGCACACCAATCCTGAACCTGTGCGTACCCCTAGACACTCCCCTTACACTGCCCTATAAGATCTCGGTCCTGTGGCTTCTCAGAGTCTTTGCTAGCCATCCGCCATGGCGGGTGGGTGAAAGACCCGAGCTAACAGGGGGTTAGCTCGTTAAATTACAATAAAGCCTCATGCAATTTGCAGCAAGCTCTCGAATCCGCCTGGTGATTGGGATGACCGCAGTCATGGCCTGGGACCCCAGATACCTGAGTTTTCCAGGGGTCTAACATGGTGATACTTTCTCAGGCCTCCAAATGTTTGGCTTAGAGGTGTGAGCCATCTTGCCTGGCAGGGTGAACGTTTTTTCAAAGTGTTTGACACACAGTGGCAAGCTGTTCTCAGGAAGGCTATGGCAACTGACGACAGCCAGCGCCATTAGCCAGCCACCTGGGGGAGGGGAGAGTCTTTATTTGTTGAGAATTCAAGTGATGAAGGGCACAGGAATGAAAATGAGATATCTTTAGAACTTAGATTTGATCCTGACCTGATGTGTGACCTTGCAACTGTAATTCCTCTCTTATAAAATGGAGACAACATTAACTGTGCACAGGATTACTGGAGAGATGAAATGGTTTATTGCATCATTATATTGTTTTTAAGGCTTAGCCTAAATGAGCGTTGACTGCCTCTCTCTGAATAACTGAATCTGTACCAGGACTGTTTCCTTTTTCCTGCAAGCAACCCATACCATGAGTGATAGAAGGGGTATTATTACTTTTTGAAAATTTTTTTTTATTTTATGTGTATAAGTGTTTTGCCTGCATGTATGTCCATGTGAGGGTATCATGACTCCTACAGCTGGAGTTACAGACAGTTGTGAACAACCATGTGGTTGCTGGGAATTGAAGCCAGGTCCTCTGAAGAGCAGTCAGTGCTCTTAACTGCTGAGCCACCTCTCCAGCCCTGATATTATTACTTTAAAGTCATAATTCTTTCTTTTTTTCCGTTTTTGAGACAGGG